TACAGTATTTGAAAAATAATGTGTTTTTTGAACATTAAAGCATGTCAACATATTCTGTTACACCAAATACACAAAATAACGATCTTTAAAAAAGCATCATATTACCCCTTTAAAATATTTATTTCAAAGCTCAGTCTACATCATTTTAATAGATAACAGTACGTATTCTAACCCCATTGGTCATTGCAGTAATTTGTTCACTAATTTTGTTTTTCTGTAACAGATAAAAGGTCTAATTGAAAAGTTAATTAAAAGACAAGAGACCATCAGTTTGGTTGTGGTGCCTGCAAACATTGACATTGCCACCACTGAGGCACTGCGGATGGCATCCAAAGTCGATTCAACCGGACAAAGAACTCTGGGTACGTATCATTTCAGTGAATGTTAAGTATTGTTCCTGTTTTCTTAAATGGTGAAATAATAGCTAAATAAAACACTGATCAAAGCGAAGATAATATTTGTATATGCAGGTATTCTGACTAAGCCAGACTTAGTGGACAAAGGCATGGAGGAGACGGTGATCAAAACAGTCAATAATCAAGAAATACCACTGAAGAAGGGCTACATGATCGTTAAGTGCAGAGGTCAGCAAGATATCAATGAAAAACTTGATCTGGTCCAAGCTCTGGAAAAAGAAAGACAGTTTTTTGATGGACATTCTCATTTCAGGTAAGAAATTAATTTGGTTCGAATTAATTTTAATATTAAAAATGGTCCTTTTCTTGGTAATATTTCTAATATTTATTAATAAAAAGTGTGGAAAACACTCCAATTGTCTTTAACTTCCTTTTTTTCTGTTTGAATTCATTCTTTCCCTTCAGGTCTCTTCTTGAAGATAGAAAAGCTACAATACCCCTTCTTGCAGAAAGACTCACTAAAGAATTGGTTGAACACATTGCTGTGCGTATGTGAAGTTACATGACAGCAGAAACATTGACACAGTACATAGTATATGACTTAGGGTGTATTCACACCTGTCTTGTTTGGTTTGACTGAATCGAACTCAAGTTCGTTTCCCCCCTTGGTGCGGATCTTTTGGGCAGGTGTGAATACAGACCAAACAACTGTACCGAGACCCAGCTGAAGAGGTGGTCTTGGTCCGCTTCCAAACGAACTCTGGTATGCTTGAGAATTTCTGTCCAATGAATGGATTACCTTTAGCACACGTGTGCTTTTGTTTACAATTTCTGGTTCACTTGCAAAAAGGGCAGTGTGAAAGCGAACCACACCAAACAAACAAACAAAAATCAACATTGTATTTGGTCCGGACCAAAGCAAGTGAACTAGCGGACCTTCCTGGTGTGAATACACCCTTAAAAAACAAAAGACTAGAACAAACTAAAATCAGAATAGAATATAAGATTCTAGATTGTCTTTTGCATTTTAATATCTCAATTTCTATATAATTTCTTTACCTTTAGAAAACACTGCCACAGCTGCAGAAACAACTTCAGATGAAATTAGAGAAGACGTCTGAGGATCTTAAAACGCTAGGAGATGGAGTTCCTCTTGATGAAAATGAGAAGAGCAATTTTCTGATTATGGTAAAAAAAAAATAAAAAAAAAATAAATAAATAATTGGGATCGCATGTTGAACACATAGGTGGATGCCACACACAGTTCCAAAACTTCTAAAACATTATTTCCCATGAATGTACATTCACGGGTGCCACCCAGCTGGACATTTTAAATTAAATTTCATGAAATTAAATTATATTCGTTCCAAATCATTGTTACATCATTAATGTATTGACTTCATCCTGGCTGGAAAATATGCTGTGTATTGACATTTTTCAGTAACAAATGTATCTTTTTGTAGTTTCCACTTGAATAAAGTCTATGCTACATAAACAGTAAAGAAATAATATGCATGCATTATATACATTGCCCTTTATTATGTATAGCAAAGTTTTTACTTCTCTTTTTTTAAATTCGTAACTTTCTGAGACGTTGTGCTCTGCAGAAAATTCGCCAGTTCAATGATGCTCTTGAAGGAGTAAAGAGGGCAGAAGAAGATCTGAAAACCTCAGACACAAGGGTCTTTTCCAAAATCAGATGGGAATTTGGAAAATGGAAACTCGCCCTGGATTCCAAAGCAATTAAGAGTGAGTTCCTAATAACATTGTAGCATTAGCATTATAGCTCTAATTTAAAATGATCCTGTACTGTGATGTACTGGCAATCGTGTGGGCCGCACAAGTAATGACATTTTACACAAGCGTGTAACGTGTTTTACACACCTGTGTGGACCGTATAGTTAACTCTCATTTTAATGCCTTCTCTCACCTGCTGAGGGCTGCTAAAGATCCAATTGAAGATTTTCTTGAGGAGCAGGTTCAGAAAGCTGAGGAGAAAATACATTCTCAGTTTAAGATGGAGAAAATTGTCTACTCCCAAGATGAACTTTACAGTAGCCAGCTAAACATTGTAAAACAGAAATCCTTATCAGGTTATGGGCTAAAGGCATCATTTGTCAATGCAGATGTACGTGAGATGGCATACCATCTCACTTCCTATTTAAAGGTTTGTATATCTAAAAGTAAGTAATCTGTGTTCTTTAAAGTTGAAGTGTGTAGTCTGTGTACCACTAGTGGCACCTAACAGAATTGGAAAAATAATAATTAGAAAAAAGATAACACACACATCACCTTTAAAGAATAAAGAAACTTAATTCATCTCTTACATACGCCAGAACATTATTTGTGTCAAAGTCTTGAGAAAAATTATTGACTGGTTGAATTTGAATGTAATTTGTATGTATTTGTAGATTACCTGTGACCGTCTGGCTAATCAAATTCCACTGATAGTCCAGTACCACATGGTGGACCAATATATCTCTCAGCTTCAGAATGCAATGCTTGCCATGATTGGAGGGAAAAATCCAGGAATGCTGCTCCGAGAAGATTCTGGTGTTGCACTTAAAAGGAAAGAACTGAAAGAGAGACTGGAGCGCCTGAAGAAGGCAGGCAAAGTCTTGTCCAAGTTTGTGCATTCTGCATAATTGTGGGTAGCACTGTCACCTCACAGCAAGAAGATCTCTTGGCTTGAGTCACAGCTGAGCTAGGAGGCTTTCTCTGTGGGGCATGTTCTCCTCATGTTGCTGGTGGGTTTCCTCCAGGTGCTCTGGTTTCCCCCAGGGGTCAAAGCCATGACTGTTACTTTAGTTTATAGTCGACATTAAATCAAAATTGTCTCTATTAATTTAATTATTGCATGTTAGTGGTCTTATTATGATCAGTACTTGTACATTATGACCTTGTGTTATGGACAGGCCTTGAACAAACTGTTTTTTTTGGTTCTCTTTTCCTGTTACAAGCGTTTGGCGAATGAATGGATGTTCTCTTTTCTGTCTTAAACCATTCCATTAAAAAAACTAAAACAATTAAGAATATTGGATTTTTTTCAGTCAAAGACCTTTCTGAAAAGCATAGAGTCTGAGGAGCTTTTTGGCTGTGACCACTAGAGGGTGGGATACAGAGAAAGAGAAGGAACTGCTGTGCCAATGGCGTGGTGTGTACAAACTGGAAATCTCTCTGCATCTTAAAATAGCTACACTACCTGCACAAGCTAGGACCTAGGTTTTAGATAATTAAAGTTGACTATGGCATGTTCTAAAATGTACTTGAGCTAGATTTACAACCCATTTTATGTAAATGACCACTGTACACACAGACTACATGAAATGTATGACACTATAGGTCATTATCAGATATTTAGCTCTGATAAGATGTGTATAAAGCATGAAAACATGCAGCCTATTAAGATATAAATCGAGTAGCTTATTAATGCATAGAATAAAAGTGGTGCAACGGTGTACAAGATTAACTGAAAAGATAAAAATCATCAAAAGAATTCAAGAATTAATGTCTGTTTAAATATTAATTTACTACACAAGCAGTAGCCTACTGTAATCCAAAGTAGAAAAAAATCTCTGCACTAGAAACAAAGAGCAAAGAACAAATTAATTTCATCTTTCACTTTTCACCGCCGTACGTCCTACAAATGGCTTATTAACTATAGCTACATGGTTTTCTTGCCTTTTTATTCAGCCAATACATTATACAAAAAGCAAGCAAAGAACATTATCACTGACTTAAGTCTAGCGCGAGTTTAAACCCTCAAAAAAAACAACAACAACAACAACAACAACAACAACAACAACAACAACAACCTTATAATAAGTGAAGCTGTCTACAGTGTGAAATTAGTCTCTTACTTATGCACTTTACGAGAGAATCTGCGAATACGAGAGTGCAGAATTGAGTCAGCGAGCGCGCACACAGAATAAAACCCAGGAATCCTGCTCCAAGAAGATAGCGCTGTTGCACGTAAAAGGAAAGAACTGAAAGAGAGACTGGGGCACCTGAGGAGTGCAGGAAAAGTCCTGTCCAAATTTGTGCATTCTGCATAATTGTTAAGCTTCTGATGTTGACTATAGTGCATTATTGCTATACTAATCCTAGAAGTTTAGCTCAGAATTGCAATGGGGTGTCAGAGTTAGTGGCAAGGATTAGTGCCTTTGCAGATCGGCACAGTAAACGTTAGGTGGCGTTATGTGTCTATATTCTTCCTTATGTCAGTAACTCCGAAGAAGACAGTGGTTGTTAAGCGCACTCCTCCATCTGCGTCATGTTTGCGCTGCGCTCGCTGTTCCGTTCTGCGCACATCGGATATGCCGCAGCTGCTCAGTTTCATGCAACTTCGAACTGCAGTGGCGCGAAAGTCGCTGTTGTAAGTAGTTATGCTGCTGGTGCTGCACATGATTGTCATTGACGCTGTCAAATGTCAAATTACCTACACATATTTAGTGTCCCATTTTAGAGCAGCCTTAGTGAAATTAATAGATTTCATCAACAATTTCTGCATTGTTTTTTAGGTTTGGCTTGACTATGTACTGAAAGTACGTACTTGTCTGTTCTTGTACAAGAAGAACTGGGTCATGTCACCCTGAGTTAGTCTGGTCATTTCCATTAGACAAGTAGAAATCAGTACGAGATAATGTAGAGTCACTGTCCGACTATCATAATCTCAAAATAAACCCCGACATGGTGATCAGATCAGGACTAACACGGCAACAATATTACAGTAATATATACTGAAGTTCATGAAGATCATGTAACGGTCGTTAATCACTAAACGAGACGCAAGATGGCGCCAGTTGCGTTTGTATGAAAGAAAAGCGAATAACTGGCGTACACGGTGACATTAAATTGACCAATCAGTTTTAAGTATCCCAGAGACCTGTTTCAGGAATATTTTTAATATGCCGACTACGACAATGTAACTGATGTTTTCTATAGCTTTTGTTTCCTGGTCTCCAAAACACATGCCGACAACAAAGTTCTTTCATTCTACTTTTATTAGGTGTTGTCAGGATGTGGTGTCTATGATGGCACTGAAATCCATGAGGCATCAGCGTGAGTACCTTACTAATTTTTATGTCTCTATTTTTTCCTGAGTCATTCAGTGGGTTCACAGCAACCTCTAGCTTGACGAGGGACAGACATCAAACAAGGCACCAGCTGCATTAAATGTCCCTTTTTCGCATGGGATTCATGCTAAGTTTGACTTTAGGAGTTCTCTAATACTGTAAAAATGCTATTTATTGGTTTCTAATTATTTTATCAATATTAAGAATTTTAAAAGCACAATTAACGTCATATTTCAGATTTTTTTTTTTTGTTGCTTTTCTGTATGTTTGTGTATGTAGAATCCTTGTGCATCTGAGTCGGGGAGGTGCAGAGGTTCAGATGTTTGCTCCAGATGTGTCTCAGATGCATGTGATCGACCACGGCAAAGGTCAACCCGTGGAGAACGAGTCAAGGTGAAGTGTTCTCTAAGAAATTTTGATTACAGAAAGATTACAGTGTCAAAACAGTCCATTAGGCCTATATACCTCAGCAAAACTGTACACTTTTATGTATTGTTACTTGATGAGTTTAGGTGTTATGAAAAATTATGAACGTATTAATAATCCTTCTTGCGCAACTTTTCTTTATATATAGGAACGTCTTATCAGAATCGGCACGTATCGCTAGGGGCAACATCACTGACCTGGCAAAACTGAATGTCAGTAATCATGATGCGGTTATCTTTCCTGGTGGTTTTGGTGCAGCTAAAAACCTGTGAGTTGCTGTCATTTATTGTGATAAACTAGGCTTGTGTCTTTTGCATTTCAATTTAGTTTAGATCAGGGGTGCCCAAACTCGGTCCTGGAGGGCCGTTGTCCTGCAGAGTTTAGCTCCAACTTGCCTCAACACACCTGCTGGTAAGTTTCTAGTATGCCTATAAGAGCTTGATTAGCTGGTTCAGGTGTGTTTAATTGGGGTTGGAGCTAAACTCTGCAGGACACCGGCCCTCCAGGACCGAGTTTGGGCACCCCTGGTTTAGATAGTCTAATTTGTCACTGACATTTCTGTTGTAGTCCTTACGTCTATTATCTGTGTTTTATCTTCTGCATCTTTACCATCATCAGGTCAACATTTGCCATTGATGGGAAGGACTGTAAGGTGATTAAGGAAGTGGAGCGAGTTTTAAAGGACTTCCATAAAGCGAGAAAGCCAGTTGGGTTAGTTATTATATATTACTATCTATATCAGTGTTTCTCAACCCTGGTCCTGAGCGCCCCCCAACACTGCACATTTTGT